GCCCGGGCGGCCTCCGCCGGGCTCCCTGGCCGCCGTTTTACGACTGGCGTGGTTCGGGTGCCCCTTTAGCCGTGTGTCTGCGAACCGCCTGTCAGAGCGGGTTGCTGTTGGTCTTGAAAGAGAGTTACAGCTTGTGCGAACGGCCGGTGTGCTGTGCGCCGGGTGAGGGTTACTTAAGCGAAATACATTGCCAGACTTCAGTGGCGTTCTTCAGTGGCTCTTCTTCATCGTTTGGAGGTCAAACTGCTTGGAAATAGTGATTCTTTTTTTTAATTTTTTTTTTTTTGTATGTGTTTGATCTTTTAAAAATTGTTAATAGGCAGTATTGCTCATTGTGGCTTGCCTATTGAGCACTCCCCACAAATGCGACTTTAAATGTGTCTCATTTTCCTTTCTGGAAAGAGAAAAATAGAGGATAATAAGAATTTCAGAGCTCTAACAGCATCTCATCCTCACACAAAAGAATGGGGAAAAAAGGTAGCTAACAGACTATCTTGTTAGTAGCATTAACTGAGTAGCTAAGATGCAGCCCAGAATTAGTAAGCCACAGAGAGAGGCAGGCCTAATGAATTTGAAGCAATGTCACTCCAAATATTTGTTTTAGGTATGAGATGTAAACTGTCAACTTGTCTGTGTGCAGGGGGTGCATGGACTGATTTCTTCAGAAAAGCAGGGCATGCATTGTACATTACCAGTCCTTGGAGTTTGGATTGCTTTGTTGACAAAACCAAGTGAATACACTAGAAGTGTGGTTTCTTGCTGTCAGCTCTAAGCTGACTTTACCTGCCCACATCTCCCAGTTCACAGTCTCATATTAGCAAAAATCCTGTTCATTAGCAGTTTAAGCTGTTGCGCTGAGCCGTGAACTACGATGAAGATCTCATCATGTGCTCCCCTGTTTCGGAGGGTTGAAGGTTGGTCACTTAACCAGGAGGACAGAAAAATTTTGGATCATCTCTGCTAGACTGGGAAACATACAACTTCATCAGAACCTTTAAACTGTATTTGACATTAATGCTTGTGTTTTAATATTTTTTTTTTTACTTGTGAAAAATGATTAGCTGGTAGTTCGATACTATGTATATCTTAGATTAATAAGATTAACATCGCTTGCTTTCTGACATATAAACCCCAATACCCTTCTCCTTATCCACAGAACAATATGCTGGACTTCGTGTTTGCTGTTGATGATTCTGTGACCTGGCATATGATGAACTTGTTAAAGAACAGGAGTCATTATTCCTTCCTAAAAGTTTTTGGGCCAAAACAGATAAGTAGTATACAGAGCTATGGAGCAGGGATTTACTACAATACTTTAGTGCCATGTAATGGTAGGGTAAGTACAAGTAGTTTGAGTAAATTAAGTCAAATGTTTGTGTGTGAAGTATTGAAATGATGAGCTTAAAGCAGATTTCTGTGCAGGAAGCAAATCGTGCAGATTGTAACTGGCCCTTAACTCGTGGTATCTTCAATATTTATGTCTCAAACTGTTTCACAAACAGCACGTTAATTAAAAAGCAAACAGCAGCTGCTCTTGCACTTTAAAAGTGTGAGCAACGTTTGGAATTTACAACTAAAGCACTTCAGAAACTGAATTTATATTCCTTATTACTTGCTGTCTGCCAGTTTTGGTGGTTGTAAAGTGTATCATGTGGGGAAGCAGGGCCTTAATTTCAGCAGTTGACCATGTAGTAATAGCAAGTTGGAATTGACATCTGTGTTGTTTAATGGCTAACATCCTGACCTGTGAAGCTTCAGTATGATTAATAATTCCAGGTAAGTGGTACTTGTCCAGCAAGTCCTACTCCTGCATCTATGTGTAGACTGTTTGGAGAGGAGGAGTGCAGGTAGGAGTCAGGGGAGGGAAACACACTACCTATCTGTCTCGGTGTTGATTTTGAGTAACTTTTGCCGTGTGGTAACAAACTGTGCATAGGGAAAGCAAGTTCTTATAAGAAAGATGGGGAATGAAATGAAATGAAGGACAGTCATGGAAAAATGTCACGTGAGCAATATATACCTAATTGAAGTTTCTCAGAGCACGCATGGTTGCAGTAATGTTGGGTATATGTCAGAGTTCTTCATAGAAAGTTGGAAGGGTAAAATAGTCTGTTAAACACTTGCTATTTTGTTTAAAGGCATCTATATGAGGCAAGAATTTGGGGTTTAAACCTTGTTCACTTTATGTAAAAAGGCACTTTGGATTTTATTTTAAAGACCAATGATCCTTGCTGTGAAATTCTGTTCTTCTTGGCTTTTATCTCATGCTGTAATGATTTGTTCATATCTCAGTCTATGGTCCTTTGTTATCCAGAAATTCTGGAGTTGGCTGCTTTGCTGAGTGATAATCTTTGGAAACTCAGGAAGTGCAAATTGGTAACAATCTGTTGAAAGTTCATCTTTTTTCCAGTTACATAAAATGAACTACAAAATCACAATTTATTTTCTAACATCAAAGAGCAAAAGAAAAAGCTCACTGATACACACCCTGCCCCTCCATAATGGTACACATAAATGTCTAGGAGTTTTGTTTATTTTAGATCTCCGACAAACTATTTCTTGAGTGTTTTCAGTATCATAAAGGATACCGTGCATTATTCCAACTATTGTAACGTTTGGCTGGTACAAAACTGATCATAACCTTTCCAAAATCTTCTTATGAACAGTTGTATTTTAATGTTCAGATCTCTTCAGTGTCAATGTCTGTCTAGACTAAGTTTCTTTGGGATTTAAAGTCTTTTACTTTAGTGATTGATCCTGGGGTGACTTTATTGTAACTTTGATTCTAGAAAGGGTCTTAGAGGGTTCTGTGCATCTTCCTGTTCCACTTTAGTTTGCATGTAAATAGGAATCTTTTTTTTTTTAATCTCTTGTGTTCATTCAGACATTAAAATGTTTTAATGTTACGCATCCAATTTTTTATTGGAGGTGTGTGTTCCTTAGAATTAATGACAGTTATAGTAAGCAAGTAAGTAGTAAGTTTCATATAGTGAAAATGGTGCAGGTATATGGTTTTTCAGAAGCCTTTATTTTGTTTTTTTCCAGATGATAAAATACGGTGTAATTAGCACTGATACCCTGATTGACGATTTACTTCACTGGAAAACCCTCTATGTCTCTGGACGCCTACAAAAACCGGTAACTGTTAGTCTGTTCAGTTATCTGTCTTGAAATGCAGGAAATTACAGGGCTGGGAAATTATCAGTTGTAGTTTTAACTTTAAGGATCTCTGCGTTGGTACTGAACAAATCATCTGCCCTCATTTAGGGGTCTAGTCCTAGAGGGATAATCTCTCAGAAAGGAAGTGAAATGTAGTCCTTAATAATATTCTGAGTTATGTAAAAAAACCTAAAGGTAAGTATATTAATCACAGTTTTCTGCCTGTAGTAAATCTTGAATAAATGGACTATATTAAGTCAAAGTCCCTTTATTGTTAAATGCAATGTTTACCTTCAATAACAAATTATAGGAGTCACCAAAGTTTCATACAGTTAAATAATGGAAATCTTTAAAGATGAAAGCTGCTTTGCTGTGCAGTTACAGTCTAGTTCCTTGTATTGTTAAAGTACCTGTAACTGACCGAACCATGTGTTAAGCGTGTTGGCTTTTCTCCTCCATGTAGAAAATATGAGGTCTTTGCTTTCCCATGAGTGCCTGATTCAGTGTGCTTTCAGCAGATGGCAGCAGTGCTAAGTTAAAATTTCTTAAGAGGGCAGGGGGGAAGGAGAGAGAACTCTGTTCAAGTCTTAGAACAGAAGTTAATTATGCTTTTAACTAAAAATCTGGGGTGAAAGTTTGAATAGATTATCTCAGCACTGCTGGTGTTTCTCTATCTCCAGGGCTGTATTATAGCCTGATACAGGTTAGAACAGCTGTTATCTTTATAAAGAATGAAACTTGAGAAAAATAGCTGAAGGAAGAATTCTGAATTTCACGTTAACAATGAATACTGAATATTTATTTACAGTGTAACTGCATTTGCTGCTGGTTTGATTTATTTTAGGAATTTTCATCTTAGTATATACAAATTGTGCTTCCTATCTTTTAGTTAAGTTCAGTGGGAGTACATACTTGCACAAGAAGGCAGAATTTGGTATTTTGTTTGGTTGCTAACAAGACACTGGAGATATCGCATATGTGTTTAATAGATAAAAGAAGAAATCAGTCCAGGTTGTTTTCATAAAGGAGACAGGAATTTCCATTGAGTAAAGACTCCAGGACTTAAACTAGAATTGGACGGAAAGATTACTTGGTGAATGTTTAAACTGTCTCTTCCTGTAGAATCTATAAAATCACTAACTAGCGTTTTGAATGTTATACCGTGTTGACCAAAAATGACCAAATAATTTATTTAGATCTGTTTTATGGGTTTCAAATGTCTGCTGGTTCTGGCTTCACAACTGATTTGATGTTTTGATATGTATGTTGTAAGTGGTAGTGATAGAAAGCTTTTTTTACCTCCTTAAAAATGTACAATAAGCTTCTTTTGGAGGGGACACAGGGTTAGGTTTGTTTTCTTATACACTATAATCTCTTACATACCATTTGCCATTTGTGCTAGTTCTGGACACGGTTGACTGAAGCCAGATTAATATTGTTTAATAGTTTGTTTGGGAATTTCCTCTTCACTCTCATATAGAGGAGGAAGAGCCCAGCGCCTTTCTGGTGTTCCATTACAAAGCTATCACTATGAGTGAAAGCTATCCAAGCTATTCTAGCACATGAGCTAAAACATTTGCTCTGGCTTGAAAATCTTGGCTGAATTTTCACTGGAGGTTTTGTTTTTGTTATAAACTGGTTGCCTTGACCAAGTAATCTTTCCAGAATGTTTGGCAGAATAGATGGAGTTTGGAATTGCTACGTAGAAATGCTAGCTTTTCTTCCCAGGCTTCTTTGTTTGTGTTAAAGGTTTATTGGCTTCTCATCCTACATGAAATTTATAACACTGATCAGCTAAATTCCCATTTAACTGTATTGAAAAATTGAATATACTTAGTTGTAATTTCTCCAAAACTAACAGGTTTCCTGGAAAAAAAAAGCTGCTGTACCTAAAAAGTAAAATAAATAAGCATAAGTGACACATAATTGGTTTTCAGTAGAAGATTTTTAAAAGCATCTGAAATGTTACCGAATTTTTGTTAAACGTAGAGAGTAAGTAATTGCTTTAGTGTAAGCAGATGTATTTACTGTTGTCCTGGAGAAACTATTAAGAGAAGGAAGTGTTTAATAAATTTAAGTGAGGTGAGAGAGAGAGGAGTATGAATAGTGTATAGAAATATCTTGTACTTTTTAGAGGGGTCTTGGGAGGTTTAGGTTTTTTATATTATAAAAATTCCCATGAAGGAGTGACAGAGCACATATTTGTTTACAGATTTTTTCCATTGTCCAAATCTGTAAAAACACTTTTTGAAAGAGAATGGAAAAATCCTCTTATTGTGTTATTTAGTGGAGTGGGGATGTGGCTAAATGGCAAACTGGAATAGTCAAGTGTTTTTGACACCTTCCATTCTATAATGAGATTTTCTTTGTGTATTTTGTTTGTCTGTAAGTATCTTTGTGTACACATGCCTGCAGTTTCTTGTGTATGAATTTCCTAGCAGTGAAGGTAGTACATTTCCTGCTTTAAACTGTTGTGATGACTGAGGGTCATGCTTTACTTATAAAATTGAATAATATCCCTCACTTAAAATATTTAATAATTCTAAAGTCTCAATTGTACTGCTAGTTAACTGAATTCTCTGTATACTGTAAAACCAGAATAAATTGGCTTCTTCTTTCCCCCTTATGTGATACGGTACAGTGACTAGTTCTGATGGTAAGTTCTCTGTACTGTGAAAAAGCCTTCCTTAACTTTGATCTTCTTTCAGATTTACCCCAAGAATCAACATTCATCCTTGTCATACCTTGGTGATAGCTATTGCACTCTGTCTTCCTGGGACATTTCTAGCTACCTGAACTGTTTAAAATTTGTTCGTAAATGCAGTGTTTCATGTGTTTAAATTTTGAAGCCTAGCATATTATTTCCCTTTGAAAAAAAAATCTGGTTTATGTTAGGGGGTATTTTTAGCAAAGGAGGAAGTTATTCCTTTTACTTCACTAAAGTAAGTTCATGGTCTTCCATGAGGAGGAATAGCATCTCTGCTGAGTTTCATGTTTTAAAAGGCTGTAACTGTGGTGTTCTTAAAACATGTCCATAACTTGCTGTTATTCCTAGGGCTAGCCTAAGGTGTAAGCAGTTTGCGTGACTGCTTGGGGTGCCACAGACTTCCCTCTTCTGTCTTTCCTTAGAGTTTCCCTGTAGCAGCAAGTTATGGAAGTACATATAAGTGAATTAGTTGATGAGATTTTAAATGTTAGTTTATTCTCATGACCAGGCTGTCTTGTTTATTGGATCTTATTTGAGCAAGTCTGTATGCATTCAGTAAATTTCTCCCATGGTTTTCAAGGAAATAAAATTTACTCTGGGCTCCCTGGCAGATGAAATTGTATTGTATTTTAATGTGTTTTATCATTGTCTTTCATTTTAATGCTAAAAAATACAAAGTAATTTGCAGGGGAAGTTAGGAGGAATTGTGAAATGTTCGCTTTTACAGTGAACTCTTTATTTTAAAAATTAAAATCAAAGAAGGGAAAACGTCCTTCAAAAATCCATCCTGGACCTATTCCAGACTATTGTATAGATTAGATGTTAGGCAAACCCACGCTTTAGTGCGGAACTATTGAAACAAGCAGCCTGTATACTGTTACATTCACCACCGTATCAAAATGAGATACTGTTCTAGTTTTATCCCTCTTAAAGATTTCACCGTAATTAAAAATTATGTTCCGAGTCTTGGCCAGCCATGACATTGCTTTGTCAGTGTGCTTTCTGTAAGAAGAATTTTGCGTAGTAGATATGTCTGATTCTCTTACTTTCTTTACTGAATCTGGGTTCGTGTTTTTTTTTTTTATTTCATTAACAGATTTACATTCCTAAAGGAAAATATTTACTTGAAAGTATACCTTAGCTGTTTCAGGTTATATTTTGGGGCAGAATTTCAAGTAATACTGCCACTCATTTGTGTGTGAATGGGCTTTTGAGGAGTAAAAGCAAGTCGGATACATTTGTTCCTAACTGTCAGTGGGTTTGCATTTTAAGTTATTCTAGAGTAAACAAATATTAAGAAGCTGCCCTTTGTAAGCAATACAGTATTGCTTGATCAGAACACTTGAAAAAGACAGAAACTCGCAACAGGCAGGTATTCTTGGGAGAGTTGTTTCTGAAAGAGCATAGTTGGCCATCTTGTAAACCAGGCTGACTTCGTCTGTCTAATGTTCTATAATAATATGTTTCTATATTCAGTTCTTACTGAAGATCTGCTTTTTATTCCAGTATATTTCCATATCTGAGGTGACTGGATTCTGTAGTTGGTCTTGAACAGTTTGAATGTTTCCTAAAAATAAACTTCTCTTTGTGGCACGTAGAAGCACTCAACTTCAGTGATCTGTTCTTCCTGTATATGTGAAGTTCCCATTGAGTTCACATTCTGCTCATACAAAGTGCAAAATAAAGCCCTGCTTCTTCTAGGAGGACAATTGATGTCTAAGAAACTACTTGAAGCATATGACAGAGGAGTCCTCTACTTTAACAACAACAACAAAAAAAAAATAAAGAAAGAATGAAGATGAATGGGAAAACTTACCTCTTTTTGTGGTATTCCATTGTCTTTCAGTGTGACAGTGGTCTTTTTTTCTTGTTGCATAGTCACATATGAAGTATTTCTGTTAATGCATTCATATTTACTGTTTGGATTAATCCTAAATTCATGAATATGAAAAGGTGAATAGCTCTTCAGAGATTAGTTAATGGCTGTTGCTTATAGCAATTCCAAACGTGTTTGTAAAAACAGCCTTTTGTAGCAGGCTGTTAATTCTTAAAAAAGATGTTCCTCTCTCTCCCACTGTGTAAACAAAAGGGGACGCTCTGGTCTTTATTGTACCATAATAATAGGATCTAATCTTAAATACATTTCTTATTTATTTTTCATGTTGGACTGAGTAACATTTCTAGCTCCATCTTCAGTAGCACTTTCCTGAAGTCTTGCTTCCAATGACTCTGCTTTTTCAGGTGAAAATACTGACTCAGAATGAGAATAGCAAGCTACAAGCTGCTCTTGTTAGCAATCTGAAGAGTGCAGTCACAGCAGCCTTTCTCATGTTACCAGAAAGTTTCTCTGAAGAAGACCTCTATATGCAGATTGCAGGACTCTCCTATTCTGGTTAGTATGTGGTGTCTAAAGTCTTCGAGGAGAAAAGCTGTAGTTGGAGCTGTTGTACCACAGTAGGAAGTCTGATGTATAAGTCATCTGCTCTCTTGCCTTGGGCCTACACTGTTGCATGCTCCAATAACTATATTTTACTGCTGTGTTATATAACAGCTTGGAAAGACTAATTGTGCCTAGTCATAGAAAATAGGTGGAGGTACATATACAAAACTTCTTATACCTGCTTGGTTTATGAACAGCTAAGTATGGGTGATTGAATATGGTGAAATAATGTGGGTTTTTTTTCTGTTTGTATGGATTGTATTTTGGTTTTAATGGTTCAAAACCTTGGGAAAAATTTTTTCTTTTCACTCTCGGTGTAATGTTGATTTATCTAATGGTGTGACCCATGCTTTGTTATCTCTTACTTTTTGAATGTGCTGTGTTTAAGGTTCTTATTTAGTTAACTTAAAGATCCAGGTTATGATTCTTCAGTGTACATTTAACACTCACCTCCTGGTTGGTATTTGTTGACTTCTTTTTGGTAAGAGAATTTCCTCCTTTCTCTAGTTATGAAAATGGTATGAATTGGTATGAGAAAAAAATTTAAGAAATTACTCCAAATGAATCTTCAATACAAGATTTAATTATTACAATTTAATTCAGCATTGCTCTTTAAATGTTGATATCCTTAATGAAATCACTATGAACAAGTTTGATTGGAGTTGTACTTCACATAGCACTTTCCTTGTTCATAGAGAAATGCAAGTTTGGCTTTTTAAAAAAAGCACAGGTAGGCAGGTAGGGTTTATAAGCTGCAGCTTGGTTCTACTGAGGAGTGTTACTGTCCTTTACGTAGTACTTCTCTGGTCAGTTTAGACTGCAATTTGTTCAGCTTTTCCTTAGCAGTTTTTTCTGAGTCATTACCTGTTTGAAAGCGACAATAAAGTAAAGAGGGTACTGACAGTGGGATGGCTAAGGGTTGCTAACCAGGGGTGTTTGCTACAGGGCTGCATACCTGAAACCTGTCCAGGAATGTCATTAGATTCTTGGTGAGCACTAGTGACCAAGATACTTTTTTCTATGTCCTTTGAAATGATTATACTTTATATGTCCTTTGAAAATTAACCAAAAATGTGGGAGATCAGTTACCATGCTGTAAGATGTTGAAACTGGCTCCGCTGTGTGAAAAAAGCTAAAGCAATAAGACTCCCAGTTGGGAATGTTCAAGAAAAAGGCTGTCAATGACACGTTTGCGGCTATTTTATTTTGCTGCCATTTTGATAAGTCTTAAACTTTTCAGAGGGTATACTAGTAGACAAAATTGATTTTGTGTGTTACTCTAATCAGTCTCCTTGGAGACTGCTGAAAAGAGTTGTTCATGCTTTAATTTGGAAAATGTTTATTCTTTTATTTTTTTATGCATTTTTTTGAGAGCAGTGAGTCAGTACCATTTATATGGGAAGTGTTTGTTTTGTGGCTTGGCGTAAATTGAAGTAAACTAAGTAATGCTAGCGAGTTGCCACCTTGGAACAACATTTATCTCCTGAATGTGGGAAGTGGGAAAATGAATTGATTCAGGATTTTGTTTGTTGATACGTGCTGCACTAAGCCTCTAACTCCTGGTTAGTAACCCCGGAAGCCACCAGGGTAGTACCTAATAGAGGTAGATGAATGCTCTATGACAGACTGACTGTCTTTTCACTTACTCTCTTTGAAACTTTTCAGTCATGTATCGTAAAAGAAAGTCTAAAGGTCAGTAATATAATGGTGGTGTTAAAAGGAGTTGCTTTTTGAAACTACTAATAGGTAGTATTACGTAGCCACTAAATACGAGGCTAAGAGGAAAAGGTGATACTGTGATCTTACTGTGACTGCCGTTAGCTGTACTTCAGGTACTGCCCTTGAAGTGCAGAGATAATGCAAATTATTTTCTTTTAGTGTTGGAAAATTGAAAGTTATTTGTTTCTGGCTACAAAGTATTGGGGCTGGTCAATCTGTTTAGTAATCTGTTGAAACTGATATATGGTTGCGAAGAATATAACTGCGTTACTGCCGCTTTCGAGGCTGAGCCTGACAGCTGGAATTTTTTTTGTTGTCCGAGTGAAAATGTGGACACATGGGTTGATGACATTACAGCGTATCAGAGGCCACATAACAATTCTGAATCTTATTTTCTGTACTTGCAGGTATTTGAATAGTATTTTTTTGACTATTAGAAGGTGAACCTTATTGTGCATTATATAGGCATTGGTAGAATTAGAGAATAAAGTTTTAGATGACAGCTTTGTACTTTGTTGGTTTCTGATATATTCTCCTTTGAGTTTTCAGTTTTTCCCTAATTGAATTAACTGTTTTTCTTTTCTTGACTAGGTGATTTCAGAATGATAGTAGGAGAAGACAGATCAAAAGTGCAAAACATAGTGAAACCTAACGTTCCCCATTTTCAGAAGCTGTACAGTAACATATTACAGGACTGCCCTCAAGTGGTATATAAGCACCATCTGGGAAGGCTAGAGGCAAGTGTTCTTCAAAACATTTCTAAAACAAGCAAGTGGAAGTGCTTTATCACATTGACAGAAGGCAAGAATTACGCCATACACTAAGGCGAGCAGTTTTAGTCATTGTACTTGCTATTTGTTATGTTTCTGTTGTTTAGTTAATTCTGCAACCAGAAGACTTGCTGAAAATACCAGTCTCTACATATGTAGTAACTACTGTTCATTTTCTTGTGAGTATGGGCACAGAACTAGAACAAGAGAAGATCAGTTTAAAACATGTGTTCTAATGACTACCATATGGAAACAACAGTCTAGGAAGTGATGAATAAACATATGGTTTGTGTTAAAAAGATTAGGCGGTAACTTAGAGGTGCAACTTTCTGCATCTCACAAAAAAAACATGGAGTGCTAGTTATGAAGATCAGTTGATTAAATCCAAATGAAATTCTGGCATTATCTTTAAATACCCCTACTAAAACAATTTCCCCCTACTATTTGGGAAACAGGTATCCAAAATGACCAGTATCTTGAATTCCATCTTTCTGCCATAAGTGTAACATTGCAATTAAGAGAGAAGTGCCACAGTCAGGGGTCCAATAGCAATTTTTCCTCTTGTAGTATGCATGTCTGTGTGTGAATATTCAAGTGATATACATTTCAACATGAAGTTACAAATAGCATGGGTTGTCTCATGGACATGGGTGTCTCTTTATCCTCAAGTCACCTTGGTAATTACCTCACGAATGCCTCCTTTTAGGACGTGTCTTTGTTAGAAACTGAAGTACAGATATAAGCAAGCTTGAGTACAGTAAACAATTTTACTGCAACGCTTTGGAGTACAGAGTAGGCGAATCTGTATTAAGAAGTATTTAATTTTGAAAAGAATCAGTAATGCTTTCGCCAAGAAAATAGCTAGTTAGACTAATACTCCCTGTTGTGTTACCTTTAAACAAATCCTGGTAGCATACTACAAGTACATTGTTGGATAATAAATCTGTCCATAATTCCGTAATAGTAATTGAGGCTGTTGATTAAATGCCATCATTTTACTGCTGATTTTGAGTGAAGTGCTTTAATAATGTATTCCTCACACCTTGGTCTGGTTATTGGCAGTGATTCCCCAGATTGAAGAGGGTGACTGCTATTGGGAGTGCTGTTTACTGCAGAATAGAAACCGCTTCTCCCAGTATACGTCTTCAGAGTTATAGAGAAAATTCTTTCTTAAAAGATTCCTCAAAAACAATTGAAGGCAGACACTAGTTCTTACAGTTCTGGTTCAGGCGTGGATTCCTCCCACATAATGTTAAGAGCCTGCTCATTGTCGGCTCCCTCTGTAGTCAGTGGGTGATTCATCTGGATATCATTTTCTCCCCATTGACTAAAGGGAGTGTATAGGACAACTAGACTCCTGTCTGATGTCTCCATGAACTGTCTAAAAAGTTGTGTGGGAAGAATCGAGCTCTTCATATTTTCCTTCAGTCTTGGAGAGATCTGTTCCATTATGCATTTTTCAGTATTTGTGCTTACATTTTGTATAAATGTGTATAGGCCTGCACATTGGTATCATTGTATTCAAAAAAGGGTCATTGAATTTCTGATTTAGATTGGAAAATGTGGAATGAATGTTTCCTTCAAATTATACAAACCAGATGTGGTTTGAGTTTAAAGCAGAGAAAATGTTTTTCAAGCTAACTTGAAATGTGTATATGTGTATAGTTTGATTATGTTCAGGCAGAAGAAACTGAGCTAAGTGGTCTTTTGGGAACTTTTTTTTTTCATTGTAGTGTACTTATGTTTCTAAAGGAAATTGGATAGAGCAGAAGTTTCAATGAAAAGTTGCTTGCAGAGGCAGTGAGATCATGTGTGTACGTTATTCTTCCCTTGGATAAAAATTAACATCTTTGCGTTGAGTTACTCTTCAGGTTCAGAACTGAGATACTGCATTTCCCAGTGCTTGGGAAGTTTTCATTAGCATTGTCGATGACTTTTACAAGTGAAATGGATCGTGTTCTTCGAGATATTTGTCAGAGGTCAAAGATAGCCAAAAGACTTTTTTGACTTCTTTGAAAAGAGAACTTACTTTATCCACACTGAATGTTTTTACTGTCATATTTTTTATAATGTTCAGATTGATAAAAGTCCAGAAGGTCAATTTACACAACTAATGGCTTTGCCAAGGACTCTGCAACAAAAGATAACTTCTCTGGTAGACCCTCCTGGAAAAAACAGAGATGTGGAAGAAGTTTTACTGCAAGTTGCCCATGACCCTGACTGTGGATTTGTGGTGCATCAAGGTAGGCCTAGATCAGTGTTTGTAATCTCCTTTAAGACATGATAGATACACAGATTTATTGTACATGTTCTCCTAGTTCAGAAGGATGATTTAGGGAGAAGGAAGAAGAAAACAACAGGTTAGTCTTGAGATACATTCCTAAAAGCATGGTTTTGGATTTGTTTGATTGCAAACAGGTTCTGTGAAATACTAGCAAATAGCATTCCTACTGGTATAGAAAAATATGTTTTGTTTTGGATTCTGAAAGAAGTAGTCTTTAGGAATTAGTGTGGCCTACTTAGACCATCTAACTCTGTTTGGGTTGCTGACACCTTTAGGATTTCATTGGCTGGCATAACTTCATCTAAATACTAAGCTATATATCCTGCCAGTCATACATTGCAATGCTAAGTTAATTTTCTTGTTGAACGTTACCTTTCCCAATTTTCATAGTTAGTCCAGATACTTGAGCTCTGGCAGAGAAATTGGGCTTTGAGGAAAAAGATTAAGGTGTTTCTCATCATCACAGATAGCTTCTCTGAGGCAAGATAATGTTGATTGAGCAACTTAAAGCTTATGCTGCAGACATCAGCGTTTTATTATTCTGCAGAAAAATGAAAACGTTTAGTACTTGAAGAGTCCTTTACATCTTTAAAGAACTTGACACATCTTAGTTCCAGGTGGCCAGTTTTGCAAGCTCCTTGAGCACAGCAAAAACTCCCTAGATGCCTGAGAGCCACTAGACACTAGCCAACTGCTGAAGGACCTCTTATGCTGCTTTCTGTTTGGGGCTCCTGAGAATTGCAGTTCTCCGTTGACAGTATAGGATGAATTGCACCTGGACATCGAGGTGTCCAGCTTCTTTCATGTCAGTCTATGGCAGCTTCTATGCTACTATGGCTGGACTGCAACAGTAATGTGATAATAGCTAAATTTGGGAGCAGGAGTTGCAGTGGTTGTGAGCTGCATATAGTTTTAGAGCTCTGAGTTGTCCACCCTGAGCTAACTATCCTTGTGGTTGTATTTATGTAAGGTTTTGCAGGCATGGCTGTGTCTGTAGACTGTGCGCAGTGGTGCAGCAGCTCAGTATCAAAAGATTGGATAGATTTAGTCTTCTCAAACCAAGCAGTTTATACTCTTAGGTGAACAAATCAAAACCCCTCTTTCACTTTTGTGGCTGAAAGATTTTCCTAATTCAAGAATCTGGGTAAAGGACAGGACAAGCCATTTGGTAATCCTACAAGACAAAGCTGATTATTCAAGTTGAATTGCATTGTCCCTAGGTATTTTACTGGCTCAACATGATTTGTTCCTTCCCCTCCCCACCCCTACCCCCACAAATTATTTTCCGGTGGAATGTTTATCATGCATTTCCCTAACCTTTGTTCTTAATTATAGAAATAGTTTAGAAAGAAGGATTTAAAAATAATATTTGAAATTATATTCTACATTCTGGTTAATGCAGAAGAATAACTTTCAGTTTGGAAGACTAACTCTGGGACTGCTGCATTTCTACATTTTTAAGTATTTAGTAATGTACAGTAGTTTTTTTCTGCGCATATCAGTATGCTTTTATATATATGTGTTAGAACAGATAAAACTTGGTACTTCTCAAAAAACGTTTTAATGTTTTATTTACTATTCATCAATACCTAAGAACCACTGGACAATGAGAACTGAATGTGCCACAGTGCAAAGTGGTAAACAAGCCTTATCTTCAAAAGCTGATAATTTAAAAAAGCCAGACAAACACTGCACAATATAGGCATCTCTACTTGATCAGAGAAGTGCAAAATCCCAATTTCATATTGAATTAAACAGTGAGTATAATTTGTTCTGCTCTAGAAAGTTAATATGCCAGCACTTAAATGAAACAACTTTGAATCCTTTGTGACTAATTTTAGTCTTAGTCATAATCTTAATCTTCTCTTAGTAGAGAAATAATGGGATTATTTCATTTTCTAAATGAATTAATTTGATCAATTCTTACTGGTTTTTACCTGTTTTAACATTGATTTGGATTTCTTTTGTATGTTAGATATAAAATAATTGAAAATATGTTAGAGAATATTTTCAGTTAGTATGACAAAGCAAAACAGAAACAAACTTTCTCAACTTAAGTGTATGTTTTACTTTCAGGCTGGCTTGATTGTATAGCTGGAAAAAAATTTTAACTTTTTTGTGTGTGCTGGAGGATGAAAAAGTACCCACTGCTAAGCTGGGTAACATCTGTGTGCTTTTCTATCTGCAGGCATTTCGGGAATTGTGAGATCTTCCAGTATAGTGCAGAGTGCTAAAACCATACTAACAGCTGGTAAGAATGTGTGTGATTTCTATCAACGTAGGCCTGATTTCACAAAGTAAAAATTACAGGGCCCCAAGACTTAGAGTAAACTTTTTGGGTGTCTAATTGAAAGCCCCTGGAAAAGAAAAGTAATATTTAAAGCAGAAGCTTTATATAACTACTGAGAAATTGTAAAATGCCAAAAGGAATTGGAGTCTATGAGACTCTTAAACAAACAAACAAAAGCCCCCAACAACCCAAAAGTAACAAAAAAACAACTTCTGACTTCAATTTCATTCTATACCTGGGCCAGATTTGGCTGATGTGCACTAGTTCTGCTCTTTTTTGTATTAAAAAATGGAAAAAATTACTTTATAATTCACTCTGGCTTTCTACATGTGAGTGGATCCCTAAATGATCATTACGTAGTATTGGTGTGTTATGTAGACTATAAGGTTATTTCATCATAAAATAAAGGAGGGGATGAGTTTTTAGGGAGAGAAGTTTGACAGGATCCAGTGTTTTTTTCAGGCTCGGAAGACGGGTGTGTATTTGAAGACATCATGTATTCCAAACTGAGCCTATACTTAGTGAGCATGGGATATTAACTGTTAGTCTCATACTTCAAAATTAATTACTTCAGAAAAAGAGTTGAGTGTTATAAAGTCAATGTGAGAGAAGGTGTAGAAAGGAAAAAAAGGACTTGCCTGTGTAGAAACATGGGAAAACTAGGTACGGTTTTCAGCTATCGAAGTCTTCCTAACTGAATGAAAATTACTGCCAGTTAGCTAGCTGGAGCTTCATCCTGTTTTCTGAGTTCTGGAATAAGTCTAATTTTAAGGTGGCCTGATTTTTACATTTTAAAAAGCTGAAAGCACTGCAGCTTGATTTAAAAGAAAGACTTAAGATCTGAGCCTTCATTTACTTAAAACTCTGATCAGGAGATAGTCTTAATTCCTGCAAAGTGAAAAATCCTTGCTGCTTGCATGAGGTTGTTCAAATAATTTTCTGAACTCATTCATAACTATTCCTAGTTCTTCCACAAAAGCAATTGTATATAAATGATGCCATTACTGGTTTTAAAAGCAGCTGTATAGTTTCCTACTGAGCAATCCTTATCCAGACTTCTACAGCTGCAGTTCTCTTCCCATTGAGTATTAAAGTTGGTGGCTCCATGTTATACTTCCTACCTCCTTGTAAAGAAACACAAGTTGCAGTGTTCAGGACCATTAGTGGTCTGCTGACTACAATAAGCAGAAACAGTTGTACTTTTTATATGGTTCTGTTAATAGTCTAGTTTTATTAACTGGAAGACGTCTGACAAAACTATTGCCTAATTTTGTGTAGTGGCTGGAGGAGACTAAGGACATAACTCCATCTGAAAAAAGCAAATTTTAATTTTATATGATTTAGGCATATTGCAGGTATTAGTTTCTAATGTAAGGTTTCCAGCCAAGTAGGTAACGTTTTTCTTCTAGGGTTTGTTGTCAAAATTACCCACTAGTGGTCGAGACTTCTTGATTTGTATCATGCCTCTTTTAGAAATATCGGCTTGTAACCTATCTGTTTCTAAATTCATGGAGAGTAGATTTAGTAGAGCAAAATAATTGGAGGGGAGGGGTCAAAGGCAGCGTTACCATGTTGAATTCAGTGCTTGTGAAACTGACTGACCTGTGGAGCAAAGCTGTTTGTGTGTAACTGCGAGAGTATGAATAAAAATAGTTAAGCTTTGTCAGATTATTTATGCTCCCCTTCTGTCTGTTCTGACAGACAGAACATCACCTCTGGGAATTCTTAGCTCCTTTTGTGTGTCATGCAGTAAATCACTTACAGCCTATGTTGTTACTAGGACTTTTGGGGGGTCCTAATGCATCTTTTAGTAGGACTTGTAATTTTTACCGTGTTTTCTGTTTTGTGCACCTGGAACTAGGTATTTGTGAAATGCCTTTTCTTTCCTTTGCCGTAACTGCTTTTTGGTTTATATATAGTGGCTCTTTTTTTTCCTTTAAAACAGACTCTAGTTGTCTTCTAATCAGCCAGTTACACAGAGTATCACTTATATCTAAACCCATATATTTTCTATGAATGCTTTTAGTTTTGAAAATGCATTTTTTGCGGTGTGATTCAGGTAGAGCGAAGCAATTGTGATCCTTTGCCTGAAACACAAGTCAAATTTGAGCAAGGAGGCTTGGGAGAGATTGGTTTTTCTTACTTTTAGCATAATTTAGTTTGTTTTTTAGTTGTTTTATTTTGACCGCACTCCTACCAGAATCTGGCCAAAACCATCAGCAACAGAATTCAGGATTGATCTTTTGGGGTTACTCACCAATTATGTGCTGAGGGAAATGAGTTAGATTTGGAAAAGGACCATTTCTGGCACTTCCTAACCTCTGAATGTTGTTTAATGAATGCAAAGCTTTCCTGCAGAGCTAACCTTCCTGAGCATTGCTGTGCAGGCCACCCTGGCTGGAGAAAGGGAGTCCTGCTGCTTCAGTTAGGGTCAGGAGTGTGTCTGTACCGTGCGCCGCTGCACGTAAAATGAGCGTTGCCTCACTTGTTAATGTAGACATAGCCCTGCTTCCCAACAAGCCTGTGTGTGGGCCTTACCAGAGCACCACCAGTTTCGCTCGCTGAAGATGGACAGAAGCACAGAAATAGTATTTTTGTAATAAAAACCCACACTGTAGTGCGCATTAAAGAAGAAACTAAATTTAACTGACCAGGGGCATGACCTCAGTGTTTTTCAGATGTGGTGTTTGTATGATCTTCAGTGATCTTCCCTGGAATTTAGGAGGGATGGGTTTCCATGGGTTTAGGAGTTAGTTAGTAGAAGCCTTTTGCCTGATTTTTTTTTTTTTTTTTTTAAATATTTCTTTCCAAATATTTATGGTTGAGTTTGTGTGAAATTTTGCTTTATCTTCTAATGATGGTTTTCTCCAGAGTTTCTTAATTTAAAAAATTCGTCACTAGGGGGCAGGCATTAATGCTATTCACCTTGTTTTGCCATTTCTTGGGGCTTTTATCAGCTAATATTCATACAGATACATTCTGTACACAGACAAAACATTGTGGCTCCTACATTGAAGGTATTTGCTTGACTCATGCAAGGAATGTGTATTACAGGAAAGTGTTGAGCTTTTAAATTTAATCCCTAAGGGTGCTGTATTCCTTTCTTCATTCTTTAACCAAATATTGTCTAATGTTCTGTTCTGCTATGACCTATTTTCACACTTTCTAGTAAAGACTTTAGGAAAAGTACTACGGCTCTGTCCTTTGCAGTGCTTGTGTTAAGAATAGTAGCTAAAATAAGAGAATTAGAAAGAGATCCTGAAATCAGTGGCTCCATTAAATAAACTGTGGCTATTTTTTCTTGCTGTTCCTGGTAACTATACAAGTACTTTTGTCCTACGTCTGCTTGCAAAAGAATTAGTTTTCATTGCATGGCCATCAGTCTTTTTGAAATGTAACGGGGGACACAAAATTATTTCCTTAGCTTTTCCTTAGCTTTTTTTCCTTAGCTTCCTTGTTTTACCTTAACAACAACAACAACAACAAAGTGAAATGCCTACCCTCTGGTCTGTAGCATGGTAGTCCAAAGTGCAGCATGTTTCTAAATTAAATGTTAAATAGGGACTAGTTGTTGCTGGGGTGGCATGCTGTGTATTAACATTATTGGCAAGGAGCACAAGCAAAATAAAGAATTTCAACCCATTCAGGAGAACTTTTTTCATCCTTCTCTGCAAATGTGGTTTTAAAGTTAAGCTCAAGCTCTATGTTTTTGTTTGTTGTTAAATGCCCTATTTAGTTTTTGAAAATGTGCCTATGTATTTCTTCGAGTCTGTGGTGAGATTGTCTCTCTGTTTCCCATTAGAGATGGCACCATCATTTGATTTATTTTCCCACATAGCCAGAGTCTGCGTGGTCTTTGGGAACTAACTCTGAAGTTCTTATATTTAGCTCCTCTGAAGGAGATGTTGATACTTCTTCAGCTTAGATTTCTTCTTTATATCTTACTAGAGGGATGCTGCAAGCCTTGAAAATCTCTTATAAATGAAATACTATTAATTAAATCATCAGTTGAAGCAATTGTTCAAGATACTTTTAAGTTAGCACAAATGCTCTGAATAACATTTGTTTTCTTAGAATTGGGGTATTAGTATCGTATGTCTTCAAGGATTTTTTTTTAACTGTATGGAACAGCTTTACATATAAAATATTCTGTAGATTTGTGATAACTGCTGTCTTCATCAGCTGCCTGAGCAGATACTGCATACCACTGCACTTCACTGTAAATATGTGTAAAAAGTCTGCATGCGTCTGTGCATGGTATGCTAACAATATATAACTATTTGCCTCCACATGACAGCTCTTCAGCAGTATATGCATTAGTCTTTCTTTTCAAAAGGAAATAAAGAATACTCCAGCCAGGCATATCTACCGGGAAACTTGGGGGACTTATATTATAGCCAAATTACTATCTTACAACACTAACACTTCCAAAAAAACCAAACATGGATCGCTAAGTAAAACCAGATACAACTTATGTTTACACTGAAATTTTGTGGTCTTGATTCCATGTGCATTAGGTCTTTGTTCTGTATCATATAGTGGAAAAATCTAAAGGGGAGGTGGAACCACCAAGTCATAGATTCATAGCTAAAGTAGAAAGACATTTTCATGTGGTCCAACTGCTTCAGATTCTAAGCCTGAGCCATAATTACGACCATTAACTTTTACTACAGATGTGACTCATCACCCTGAGGGCTGCTTTAAGAAACCAGCTGTATGTATAAACCTGTATTTTGCTTTGTAGCATGATGTGCTAGGGCAGAAATGTAAGCAACTTATTACATAAGGCTCCAGTGGGTGGAGTTCAGTAGAGTGCTCCCTGCAGGGGGAGAATATGAAGGAGAAAAATCTCTTTATGTTGAGCTGCTGCAAGCGGCAGAGTAGGTTGGCAAGCTGATAGAACAAGCTGATTTGCAGGCTGCAGTGCTAGCGCAGTTAATTACAGTCCTGCAGGGCTGTATCAGCTGTGTTACTGTTGATTTGCCACATGCTATACTGCGCTTCCAGAAGTACACTGACTTCATTGGAAAGGCAGAACAACATCAATTCTGGCAGAGCAATTTCAGTATTTGAGGGGCTGTATCTTGGAAGTATAGTACCCAGGAGATTGCACAGTAATTTTCAAAGCCGTACAGTTACATAGTTTTAACTTTGGAGATTGGAACCACTTCTTTCATTTATGTGCTATGCCTGAGCTTAGTCTGGCCTTGTTCTGCAACTGGAGTTCTTACACTGTGTGCAATTTTAATGCAGATATGTGACGCGCTTTAGAATTTACATGGTTATTTACTTGTTATTTGAGATGCTGCAAAAAATAGCCCATCGTGACTTCATTAGTGTGCTTGCTTTTAGCAGAAACCTATTAAATATAGAAAAGTTTGAGCTTACGTATGTGATGCACATGGTTTTGTAAGTGGAAAATACATGTATGGATGATTCCTTACAAAAGGTAAAGTTGAGTTTATTTAAATTGCAATTAGAGACACAAGAAGTGCAAAACTGATTATATCCAGCATATTTGTTATGATAGGCTTTTTACTCTCCATCACATGCCTTCAGAAATAGAGCATGCAGTTTTCCTTATTACTGCATACTCATTTGACTTCTGGTTACTGTAGACTGCTAATACTGAATGCATCTTTCACTTCAAGTATTTTACCTTCATTTGATTGCTTTCTCAGGTCTTTTCAAAACCAAATATTATCATACCCGTTTTGTTTTGTTTCCCCCCCAAAAGTCCAATACAGTAGATGGCTAAACCTGGGTCTAAGTTGCTCATTTGTGGTGTGCCATACTGTGTGACTTTTGGCTAAATTGCTTCTGTGTACTTTTAGTCAATCTTGTCAGGTAAACAGTGTTCTATTAAATAAACATCAGAAAGATTGTAGTAAGTATAACGTACCATACTTTTAAATCTGTGCATGTAAGTGTCAAAATTAAAGCTTTTTGTGCAGCATTAAAAACTTGCCTTTTCAGTTTTGAATTTTTAAGGGTGTGATTCGACTCTCTTGTAATCTGAAAAGTTACTTTGTGTTTTATGTTGGTGTGGTGGCTTTTTTTTTTGTTTGTTTTAGGGTGTTTTTTTTAATAAAAAAAAGCCGGAAGGAGGAAGAATAAGTAGCTCCACTGGCTAGGATCTCAGAACCCCACTGAAATGCCAAGGCTAACAAAATACTGTTTTTAAGTTTGCAAATACTAGATGACTAAACCCAGGAAGAGGCTGTGTCTTTTTTTTACTCTAGGTCTGTAAGAGAAGGCTCATCTCTGGTAGAGCTTCAGAAAGTATTTAACTCTAAGGGTGCACTTTACAAATTGTGTGGGAGTCATCCTCGATCTCTTCGTATCTAAAACTTGTCAAAGCTTGGAGGCAATGACTGCTGCAAAATCCTTCTGTATCTTTATGAAAATTGAGAAATGCCTTCCTTCATTGTAGGCCTAGCATAACGGTATGGTATTTATCAAAGTTCAGTACTTGTGGGCTACTGCAGGATGATGCTAGAGTATGACAGCTGTTCTGGCATCATATAAGGTTTATTATAAACAACTGACAGGCAGGTTACTCTGAAGCAAAATTGGTCCGGACAACATCCCTGTGACAGGCTATGCACACTGGTGTCCATGGTATACTTCGGAATTGGCAGTATTGCCAAATTATAGCTGTTTGCCATCATCTCGTTATTTTTGCTTCTTTCAGTTCACCTGGGCATATGCCTTATTAATCTGGTTTTCCATACCCATCATCATTTCAGTATTATCTTTTTTTACCTAAGGACACAGATGTCATTTCATTATGCAAGTCGAGCAATTTTATTCTCTTGCAGATGTGCTGTTCTCTCATTATGAGATGGTAGCTGCCATTAATTAGGGTGAGGCAATAACAAAATATTCAAGGTTATAATGTACTTTACAACTTGTTGAAACCAGAACAGATTTCCACCCCAACAATCAGCAGCACATTTCTTATGAAACAAACAATTCTCTGTTTTCATTTTTAATTCACAAGCCTTTGAATAGCAATGCTCTGGGTTGGTGTGTCCTGGAAAGCTGCTGGTGGTGTGCAGTGTTTGATTACATTTAATCAAGATGGGCATCAGTGTGATGTTTCTCAATTCTAACTGCATAGAACTGGTCTACAACAGGGCAACCAAGTGCCTGATGTATAGCATCAGGCAAGGCTAACTAGAATCTGATTAGCAGAAGAAATTGGTAAAGTAGGCTTTGGAAGTATAAAACTTGTTGTCTACCAGTCATGCAGAGTTTGCTTGTCTTGCTTGAGCAGACTGGTTTTTTTTGTTCTGGTTCACCACTCTCTCTCTTCTTCTCCTTCTCCTTTATTCCTTCGGTAAAATTTTGCTGCACAGCTTTGGGCATAGCTGTGGTTCTTGATGATTAGGCATCATCTTATCTGTAGAATCTGGTGGTGGGCTCCTGTCTCAAGAGCTGAAATGCTTCTACAACTAGATTCTTCTCTCAGGTGTGGTCAGCTGACTAACCTGCATGCCTAACACCTTGGATTTCTCTAAACAGTACTGTTCAAATGTCCTGCTGCAGAATATAGTCTGTCGGGTTGCTGGTGTCCATTTCCAGGCCAGAGTACAATCCTACTCAGCTAGTACAATCCTACTCAGCTGGACACGCAACCTAGCAGTGCATCAGGAAGGGCTTGAAAGTATAATGTATTCGCTTGGTGTGGGTCTGCAGTAGACACAGATGGTTTAAAAGCCTTCCTATATTTAGCATTTAGGAACAACGATGTAAATTAGAAGTTTCCCTCTGTACTGGTTAAGAGTTTCATCATGAATCTCTACATTTGCTATACCTTGGTTATTATCTATACGTGCTTGTATGCAACACCGTCAGGCCTTCAGAATAAACCTATCCTATTTTGCATGCTTTGATACTTTTAAAAGTATTTTTTTGTGTCATTATTTACTGTGTTATGAATGTGACAAGGTTATTTGCATGTCTGCCTGATGGTTTAGCTTGTTGTTCTTCCAGGGAAATATTTTACTTAATGTAGTAAGAACCTAGTATTTGAGTTAGCCTTTCTAAATGTTGATATTTTCTGGGGTTTGTGTTTTGTTTTGTTTTTTTCAGGGGCAAAGAAATCTGTAACTTACAGTACGAAGAAATTATATAAAATGACAAAGGGATGGTTAAGGAAGACATCTTGAGTCTTGACATACTGTGTACGGGTAAATAAATGGTACTTTTTCTCTAAATATTTTGCAGATGTTGCTTTGCCTGCTTGAGAAGATTAAAGTGCATTTAAAAAGTCTGTTCTAATCATTCACATGCCCATTTTTACTACTAAAATAGAAACTTTTGTTCGTGGGGGAAGGTTCAGTGGTAATGGGGCAAAGGAATTATACTGTGTAAGTAATTAAATGAATTTTCCTGTATACTGTAGCTTAGATTTTGAGAAACCCTGAGTAAAAAGGATTGATTGTACATATGAATCAAAAATCAAAGCCATTCATTTTCTATGTATTGCTAGCTTAATTTTCCAAAATACCCCCAGCCTCTTTCAAAATATTCACTGTCACAATTTTAGTTCTGTCACGGACTTATGCAACTGGAGAGTCCATTGAGTTTTAAGTAGATATGAAACTGTCCTCTCGAAATACATTATTTCTGCACTTAAAAGTTCATCCTTAGAATTCTTCTGAAGATGCTTACTGGGTGCTTCTGCAGGGTAGACTTTATGAAAAGTAAATTTTTTCTCAGATGTGTGATGTTCTGAATCAAAAAATTTTGACAATGACTTTCAGTCTGGGAAAGA